TAAATACATTTTGTTTTTAATTTGCTTTAAAAAGTTAAAATCCCCTAAACTAGAGGAAAACTATTGCTGATAACAACTTTACCAACTATCAAGTCGAATGTAGAGTTATAAAGATAGATCTTCCAGATATCTATATATTCATATAACTGCACATGTATTGTAAAACAAAATGCAGATAGCTTATTGTTACCTGTGCTTGGTGAGTTTAAGCCGACTCGACCAAAATGTTACACAGCATATGTTATGAAGATGAGTTTGGTAAGCCATGAAATTATTGCAGCTTTGATGTAAACAAAATACAGCGGAGACCCACATGGAAAAGATCTGTGTAAAGTGTAAGCATTTCTTCACAGCGCCTGCAGGGATTCACTGCAACCATGTTTTCCACCTGCTCTGTCTCTGTCCTCCTCCCTGCCTGTTATCACCAGCTTTGTCTTATTTACACATTTGTTCCTTCTTGCAAATGGTCTCATTTTAGAGTCAGTGTTGATGAATTTTTAGGTGAAGATTACGAACGGGGGGGGGGAAGTCGATTGGTTTAGTAAATGTCTCTGGTCTCTGACTTCTCTTTCCATGTTGTGCTTACAGGTCGTGCCTGCGACTGCTAGACAACAACCTAAACACACCTACTTCTCAAACGTCCAGCCAACAGAAACCACAGAGCAGCAGCAGCAGCGGGATTTATAAGACCAAGCACAAGCTTTTGCTGTTATTTAGAGAAATCCACAGAGAGCAGTCGGCATGCACCGGATATTAGGTGTGAGGCTTTCTGCCTGACAACTGAACTACTGACCTGCAGCCTGTTACACTCAGAAATATTGTGCATAAAACTGTGTCGCTTTCATTTCACTCAGCTGAACTCTTGTGTATTTGGGAACCTGTTGGTCTGGGATTTACTGAGAGACTCCAAACGTTTGTGTAATTTTCCAAAAAGAGAGCAAACATGTCACAATTCAGCTTGTGTCGGCTGACTGAAATGAAAGTGGCATCGATGATAATGCAAACATACCACCAAAAATGATCGTAAAGCTCCCTGCAGGCTGTGTCTGTCGTCACTTCTGTCATGTATTCTCTATGTGTGAGATGAACACTGATGTAGATATTAGTCAACAACCTAACCTGCAGTCTGTGTTTTGTGTCAAATCTGTGGAGTGAGTGATGTTCCTTCCCCAAGTTTCGTTTCATGGAGGAGTGTAGTGGATTGCACTGTTAAATGAGTCCTGTTTCTATAAAATAACAGTTAAAACACATGTAGGAGTGGACCTTTATTTTGTGTGTGTGGAGTGTTGCTCTGTGTGATGGACACACAGAGCATCACTCTCACTCTGTGAGAAATTAATTTAACCCTAAAGTTAATGCAATGTTGGATTCTGCAGAGCACATAATGACCGCAAGAGGGAGCTAATTAAGTAAGTTTATAACATATATGTACCATAGCACATTAAAAATGGTGTACAAATTAAATGAAATAATTGATTTAATATCAACCTTTTCATTTTGTCTCATAATTATTACTAGTTTTTTATGGGAGAACACATTTAATTACCAAGCCCACCTCAGTTTACTGCAGAGGGGGCTCAAGTCATTGTTTTGCTAATCCCAAGAGGTTCTCGCGTCTTTCCAAAGAAAGAAAAAAAGAAATGGATTTATAAAGCAAAATGCATATAAAGACAAAATCTTTATTCAGCAAGTCACAGCATAAATTATATCAGTGTTTCTTTAAGAAATTCTGACTTATAAGGGTGGCTTTGATGTTAGCATAGAAACATTACATAGCCACTTTAGCAATATACAAAGGTGGGTAGACGACCCAAAAGTTGTACAGATGTAAGCATCACAACTTCAACACATTCTTACTAAAGTGAAAGTAAAAATATTCATTCAAAGACTAATTCAAAGGCTTAAAGGTATTTAGTAAAATGCTACTCAAGTAATGAATGACTGATCATAACATATTATGTAAATGTAACTGAATAAATGTCTTATTTATGATTACCAGAACATAATAAACCCACTGCTAAAGCCTGTATCACTGCACATTATAGTTGTTTTTTTTATGATGCACAGATGAAATTAAACTCTTCATCATCAGACTTGCTGAACCAGCGACGGTCTTCTGTCTTCATGGCTCCACTCATGTCACAGCTTTCTTCATAGCCATCCGATTCCCAGCGATTAAACTCTACAACGTTGTCATCAACCCAGAACCAGAAGTCCAGAGTGCAGGTGTAGTGAAGTCCGATCCACATGAAGGGACTGTTGGCTTTCTCAGCCTCCAGCTCAGCAAAGGTCTGCATCTGTTCATCCAAGATGGAGGCCAGATCTCCGTGGTTATCTCTGCAGTAGTACAGGGCTTCTTCCCAGGTCTTGTTTTGGTCAATCAATTTAAAGGGGGATACTAGAAGAGCAAATATACACATAAAAAAAATAATAATAAATCAAGAATTGGCACAACGTAAAATAAAAAGTACATATATGTTGTTCAACCAGAGGAACATTTTTTAGCTTTTCATATCCAGTCTGCTCTAATGTTTAGCATTAACATTTCAGAAAATGACTTAAGATGTGAGGATCTTAAGTTGTTTTGATTTTTTATTTGATTTTAGTGTCATTATTATTTTTGCGTTAGTTTCTCATTTTGATTAGATGAGTCTTGTTCTTTTTGATTTTTGTCCTTCATTTTTTTCATTAAATCACCTAAATCTGCTCAACGCCTCCGCCTGCTGCGTCTGGGTCCATCAACACAACCTGCAGTGCGACATGAGAGACTTTAATCTGAATGTGACAAACTCACAGGCTGACTCAAAGGTCTGAACGGGACATTAAGAGTCCCTGAATGCACAAGATCTGATTCACCTTATTGAAATGAAAATAACTCACACAAACTTTTCCAGGTTCAATCCAGCCTACACGCACTCCAGTACATACAACAGCATCACTTCTGATTTGACTAAAGTTGGTAATTTGCTTCAAGTCTCCTCACATTGTTGAGTTTGCCAACATTCAGCTTTCTTTGATATGCTTAATGTTCACACTGATGCATGTCGAGGTGTTCGACCTCCATCTTTTCTCATATTTCCGCCAACGAGCCTCATTCATGGAGGAAGACGTTAATTATTACCTATCTTATTGCCTGTGATGTTCACTTCACAGAGTACCAAAGGCGTTTTTGGCATGATGGTGACATAACGCCCCAGCGCTGGACCAAACGAGTAGAGATTGTTTTGGTCGACTGTGAAGTTGGTGATGTTATAAACCCTGAAACAAAATGAGGAGAAGTCAAGAAAGGTGATGTGAGATTAATCCTGGCTTTATCTGTGAAGTTATAGCTGTGTGCAATTATATTTAGAGTGATGTTGGCATAAGTATAAAGCTGGCAGCCTGAAAATACTAAATAAATCAATTTAAGGTTCTTACAGCTTGTTGTTGACGCTGTTGTTCTGAGGAAAGTTCCCAATGTAGATCTTCACCCCAACTAAATCAGAATGGTCAGCGTTTTTATTGTATATTGAGATGCAGGAAATGTTGTAAACACCCTGTAGATCAACGCTCCACCAGGAATCAGGCAATTCTTCAGTGTTTGAACATGATGACCGATTTCCATCGATGGCTTTGGCAGAGCTGTATTCGTCAGAGAAGTAAATTGAAGACTGAGAGGATTTGGAGTTTGTTAGATCTAAAGTTTGAGTGTCACGCTGAGCTACGGAGGAAAAAGAAATAATTTGATTATAGAACTTCAAAATGTCTAAAACAGTATAACGTCTACCAGTGAATACATTTGGTCCTACCTGTCGTCTGCTGGGACACCCTCAGCCTCCCTGTGAAAACATTTATTTTGAAATATCCTCAAACTGGACTTGTCATTCACCTCTTTCATTGTTTTAACTATAACTTTCGTGGAAAGTAATGGAAACTTTTCACATACATGAAAAAACTAAGAAAAATTGTTTCATCATGATTTTCTTTCTTCATGGTGCCAGACGGGATCAAAATGAGCCACTTACCAATCAAACCGATGAGCAACAGACACCGCAGCATGTCTGAAAGTACACTAAACAAAAGAATCAAAGTAGGAATGACGGTTTGTGCAGATTTGTCCTCCTTCTGTAAAAAACAAAAAAGAAGTAAAAAATAGGGAATAAAATAATATCTGTCAGAGCAGGTTATATTTTGCTTCCGTAATGTTGGCTGGAGATTTCTAACTGAGCTGTTGTCCACTTGTCCACAATAAGCCTCATTTATTGGTCGCTTTCTGAACTGCTTCTGTTACTTATTATCACAGTCACAGGTTCAAGGTCAGACTTGTAGGTTCAGCAGCTCGACATTTGCATTTTGTCTGCCATGGGATGGAAGCAATTTGTTTATTGGTCATCAGATCAAATTTCTAAGTCAACATTTAGTGAATTCACTCTTTGTGCGAAATATCCTAAATAGGTCGCACTACTATTTACGATAGATAGTAGAGATATATATGCAAAACTGACTTACCATGAAGCTACGTTCATCGTGACGTAATGCCTGAAAAGTTGCATTAAAAGTGTCAACTTTGCTTTGTTTGGTAAATAACAGCACTTTTAATGCAACGTTTAATTAAAACTGGCATTAAAGGTCTATTAAAATTGTCAACTTTGCATTAAAAGTGTAATTATTTACAGAAAGACACTTGATGAAAACAGACGTAAACATTCATGAACATGACAGGTGTTGTGTCACGTTTATGACAGTGTCATGTCAGTCTTATGTACACCCCATCAAATAAAGTGTTACAGAAAATGCGCTCCTCCTCCTTCCGCTTGAGGACGTCCCAAAGGCGTTCTATTGGGTTTAGGTCTGGAGACATGCTTGCTCAGTCCATCAGCTGTACCTGCAGCCTCTTCAGTAAAGCAGTGGTCATCTTAGAGGTGTGTTTGGGGTCATTATCATGTCTGAACGTCAGTATTTCACAGTACATATTGGAGTTCATGAAATGTAACTCCCCAACACCTGCTGCACTCCTGCAGCCCCAGACCATGGCATTCCC